CCTCCCCCATGCCAGGCTCCTTCCAAGCCCGCTGCAGAACCCCGTCCACCATGTGCAGCATGCTGAACTTACTCCATAAACCCGTTGTGGCCATGGACAGTCCCGCCACTTCCTCCCAGGGTGGTTTCACCCCACCCTGCACCCACAGCCGCACAGGATTTAAGTCCTTATCCTTCTCCTGCTGCGATGCCCAGTCCGCAGCACCCACCACATCTAGCGAGCAGCACGAAGGCCCAGCGACAGTTGACTCCCCCCTGAGCTCCTCCTCCTTGGCGTCCCTCCGATCACAGTAGGTACAGCTGGCAGCTGCACAGGGACGCCAGGACAGGGCATCAGCATTAGCATGTTGGGCCCCAGGGCAATGCACAACATTGAAGTGGAAAGACTGCAGCTCCTCTGGCCACTGTGCCACCTGACCTTCAGGTTTCCTAAATGACATCAACCACTGTAGTGCAGAATGGTCAGTCCTGATGGTGAAAGGTACGCCGCACAAGTAGTATTTGAAGTGCCGGACAGCCAACACAACAGCCAAGAGTTCACGCCTTGTCACACAGTAGCGTCTTTCACTCCTGTTAAAAACACGACTGAAATAAGCCACCACACGCTCACCCCCCAGGCCCACTTGTGCCAGCACTGCACCCATGCCCACATCACCGGCGTCTGTTTCCAGCGTGAATGGTAATGCGGGATCTGGGGGGTTGAGAACGGGGGCACTTATAAGTGCCTGCTTCAGGGTGACAAATGCGTTTTGGCAATCCGGTGCCCACAGGAAAGGCTGTTTGTTCTGTAGGAGACGGAAAAGGGGTGCACCAATGCAGGAAAACCCCTTGACAAACCTCCTGTAATAAGAGGCCAGTCCCAGAAAGCTTTTGAGTTGTTTCTGGTTACCTGGGACCGGCCAGTCTCTGATAGCCAGGATTTTCTCTTGGAGTGTGCTGATGCCCTCCCCGTTCACCTTGTGACCCAGGAACTCCACCTCTCGCTGCATAAAATGACACTTGTCTGGGTGCAGCTTCAGTCCTGCGGCTTTAATCCTCCCCAGCACCAGTCGCAGCGAG